TAAATATTGCTTTTTAAATGGAGATGTTTTGTTAGTTACTTTTTGTCTTTTTTGAATAGTGGTGATTTAGGGCTTTGGTTTATTCAAATTGTGACCAAATAGGTTAAACCAATGTCATGTCCTTATCTATATAGCTTGTATCAGTGAATGACCAAAAACAACAGTATATATGGTCATATGGATTCACCATTTTGAATATTTTGCAACAGTAAATTGCAAAAACAACACTTAATGTATGGCCGAATAAGGGATTTGGTTTTGTATATTTTCTTTCAATGAATGGCAAAAAATGGAAATTATTTGTATACCTTGCTTGCAAACGATAGTGATGTACACAACAAAACAGGACATTTCATTTCATTTAGATAAATTTTTTTACCAAATTGGGTATAACTTCTGGCCATTTCCAAAGTTACATGAAATGCCTAAAAACACACATAACCACACTCAAATTTCCAACATTCTACCAAAACAAGAAGTTTATAAATGCCAAATTCAGAAAGCAAAGTGCAACAATAACACATCCAAGTTTACAGAATGCAGTATGCATTTTCTTTTCCAACAAATTCTCCATTTCATGCATCCTCTTTTCCACCTTATTAATTTTAGACAGTTGATCACAACCAACTTCTTCCACTAGCTGATTAGTTGCCGTTTCCTCTATCCCCTCATTCACACTAACACTTTGCCTTTGCGTCGTTTGCTCAACATCTTCCTCATGACTATGCTTCAGCTGCTTCCTTAGCTCAGAATTTTCCCTTAACAGTTTCTTCCTTTCGTTATAGAGGTACCAAATAACATCCTTGGCCCTTTGGGTGAAGTCTGCATCATGCCACACAAAGTAATCACACTTCTTCGATACATCCTCTTCCTGTAACCAAATTGAGCATATAAAATTATTGTTCGAAACTGAAAGCCAAAAAATAATAATAATAATAATATTTTTTCGAAAGTGAAACTCACCCTAAAATCTAGACATCCATAAAAGCGACGACTTGGATTTAAGTCCCTCCATGTAGTCCACCGTGGAGCAAACTTACCACAGTTGCAATGGCGAATGGGTGATGGGTAGTCGTATTGGGGAATACCATCATATAAGATGAAAGGAGGACGGCCAGACGAAGTCGATGCACCACGTGAAGTAGAACCTCATGAGAATGAATTTCCATATGTCCTCAACATTTCTCTCTTAGCATAAATTGTGGTTGGGTTCAGGAGAAGACAATGAAAAAGGAAGATGGTGGAAAGCCTAGTGAGGATTAAGAGGAAGATGAAGACAAACCCCAAATCCCCAAAATGGTTTAGTAGATCTGTTTTAAAATCTTTGGGTTTTAGGTTTTGTTTTTTTTTTTTTTTTGGTGGGGACGTGGGGACAAATGGGAAAAGTCCCACACAGTGGGTCCCACTGCACACATGGTGTCCATGTGTTGTACACATGTGCAGAAAAGAAGCCACATCATCAAAAAGCAGATCCACATCTGAACCTGACGAGTAAGAAAATGCCATATAGTGCCACGTCAATTTCTAGGTGCCACGTCAATTTCTAGGTGCCACGTAGTGCATTTTTTAACGGTGCCGTGATGGTCTGTTAAAATATTAGGTTTTTCACGAGTTTTGAAAAGTGGAAGGTGTGAATAGGAAGGTGTAATTTTGGAAGGTGTTTACCGCGAAAAAAAAATAAATGGAAGGTGCAAATGGGGGATTTAGCCATTAAATTATGTATCATCCTTTGTAGAATTCAAGCAAGGCTGCTGTTTTTTATTCATGGCGGCCTTTCCTGGGCAAAAATGGAAAAACGTAAAATTTCTGAGACGGGTCATATTTCGGGTCGGGTCCGGGATGTAACCGACCTGGCCTGGTGTTGATAGTGAAAAGTGAGATATTTCAAGGGAATGAATGAACAGTTTCGTGTTTATCCATTCCCGCCAAGCAGCGGCGTTGTAGTGTACCTCCGGCAGCCATCGAGCGCAGCGCAGATGCGTCGTGCGTCCTCCGTGGTAGCCCACCTTCGCCAGTCATCACCTGCCACGTGTGAACCCCCTGCATTGTGCTCCGTAGCCTCTCCTCTTTCAACCTCTCTACCTCAAAATCCTAACGCAACCGCTGTTCCCTCTCTGATCAACCTGCGCCTAAATTACAATGGCCCCACTTCCAATCGGACGGGGAAAAGAAATGCGCGAGAGGAATATTAAGATGGGAAAATTAGAGGGAAAGCTCTCTAAAGATGCCGGAGGAGACGACGGCGATAGATTACGTGATGGAGAAGGCCTCGGGACCGCACTTCTCTGGCCTCCGCTCTCCCACAGCCACCTCCGCTTCCAGGCAGCCCTTCGTCATCGGTACTTCTTATTGCTTTCCGATTCTATGTGTTGCTTCTTCAAATTCCAAATGATCGCTTCTGCATTTGCTTCTTGCAATTAGGATTGAGGTTTAATTATTCAAAGTAATTTCTATTGCTCTTAATGGTTTTGCTTATTCGATCGTTTCTCAGGTAGCTTTGCAAAATTTTTATCTGTTTGTCGCTTCATCTTTGTTTTTTCATGAAAATAATAATAATAATGAAATTGTAAGTTTTCTTGCTCTTTCAACTGCAAATAATCCAGAAAATTAGCATTTTAGTAGGCGATCTGATTAATATCGTCATTATATCGAGTTCTTTCTTTCTTTCTTTCTTTCTTTTTTTTTTTTTCCCTTTTTGGTCTTGATTTTGGTAGTATTTCATTGCTGTTCAATTTCTTTTTTCGCTCAATTTTTTCTATGACTGTTTAGCATTACTTCTTGTTGTTTTTTTAATCTTGCCTTTTAAGTAGTTCTCATGAAAATTAATGAAAGTAGTAAGCCCATAGTTTATTTTGTACATTTGATCAATATCACTTTTACTCGTTGTGGCTGGCATTTGTAATCAAGCAGGAGTTTCAGGAGGTACAACTTCTGGTAAAACCACTGTATGTGACATGATCATCCAACAACTTCATGATCATCGTGTTGTATTTGTCAGTCAGGTCTGCTGGCATGGCATCCCACACTTCTTGTTGTATACGTCAGTGTAATTTTAATTATTTCTGAAGCTTTACTGGACCAAAATCACATGCAGGATTCCTTCTACCGTGGTTTAACTCCTGAAGAATCAAAATGTGTGCATGAGTATAATTTTGATCATCCTGGTATGGATTATGGTTTGTCTGTTTTGGTTGTTCTCTACTTCCTGTGGATTTTTTTTCTCGATTGTGAATTTGTTTCAAAACTTTCTCTTTTAGATGCTTTTGACACCGAGCAGTTGTTAGATTGTATTCAGAAGCTCAAGAGTGGGCAATCTTACCAAGTTCCCATCTATGATTTTAAGAACCATCATCGGTGCTCGGATAGTTTCCGTCAGGTTTGTATGTTTACTACTTTTTGAACTCTCTACGGCTTAATTTATGTGCATAAGTTTTATCTGGCTTTGTTGATGAGCGCCTCCTATTTATGGAGCATATTGTCCTCTTTGGGCACCTGACTTGATAGTCAACACAAGTCTATTTTTACCATTT